CAGGGCACAGTCCTTCACGTGATGTTCACCTCCCGCACCCCATGCTCAGCTTGGATCCAAGCTAGGTGCACAGGCTTGTCGTACAGACCACATTAGGTGGTTCCGACTCGTAGGTGACCCGCGATTATTCGCACAGCCTTCACGTGATCGTAGCACTAGAGCGTACATATACGTTACACCCAGTCCTGTCGTACAGACCACTTTAGGTGGTTCCGACTCGTGGGCAGGTTCAGTTGTTCAGTTATTAAGTTTGTGATTTGAGCTCTATATGCAGCCGTACAGGTCACGTTAGGTGACTCCGGCTGCCAGATGTTATGCTGTTGATGTGATGAGTTGATTATGAGCTATATATGCAGCCGATGGCTGAGTTGATTAGAATGAAAGAGTATGAGCTATGTTTATAGCCGAATGTTGAATTGATTATATGTTATTCCATCATATTCACATAGAGATGATGAGCATTCTGTTATGATACTTGGCATGACATACATTCATATTGTCTAGCATAATTTGAGATATATTACGTATATGAGTATATACTTTATTTCTGGGAAAGTATACAGATTTTACGGCGAGGGGTTAGAATGTGTTTTACTAAATGGTTTTCAAAGAGCTTTGTTTTGCTGACTCACTCAACTTTGTTTTGCGTCCCTCCAGGTTTAAGATATCAGAGTTTGGTAGCTACGAGGAATCCAACGGTGTTCTAACAGAATGGACAAAAATTAGGACTCACCTTTGGGTGTTTCATCTTAGAAATTGTATCTTTAAAGCTTCCGTACTGTGTAAATGGTTACGTCACTCTCACGTGACGGCCAGCATGCCCTCCTTCGGGACGGGATGTGTCATTGAGTGTATAGTTTTCCAGGAATGCTAGAAGGTAAACTCCCTTTATGCTTCGAGACTAAGAAAGCAAATAACCACAAGATGATTAGATATGAAGACGTAGGACAAAAGGCATACATCATCCTTTGCTGCTTCTTCTGCTTCAGCATCCTCAAGACTAGTGTCTTGACAATATTGTTCAGAAAGCCATTCCTTGGCTGATGTAACTAGTGTGTAGATCATAGCCATACCAAGGTTTTCAGATGCCTGTAAAACATATAGATATTGAATCAAATTTGGTATTTTTTGGATAACTTCACATTATCTAATGAGTTGTATTAGGACAGAAAAAATATGCTCACTAATATTTAGATGTTTTAGGACAGATAAAAAACGACACAACAAAAAGCTGCGTAGAGAAGTAAAGAATGCCCAAAATTACCTCTTGCAGAAGCTTTTCTTTCAAAATTCTTAGATGTTCTCCTTGTATACCGCGTAAACTGAAGGGAAAAAAAAAATCAACCATTAGAATAGTACCTCATAAACCATCCTGCATCCACACTTCTGACTTTCCCGCAACCTTACTTAACAACACAATACTGACGGAACTATTATAGTTGAACAATACAGTATTAATAGCAGAGACTCAAGGATATTTTTTCTCGAACTTCTTTCTTTTCTTTGTAACAGTATTTTATATATGCAGTTGCAAGAAGGTACTAAGTAGAACTTGTATTTGCTTTGTCCAAAAGAAAAAGGCAATGAAAATGATAAAGTTCTTTTCCATCATTACTAACAATGAAAAGTGGAGAAGAGCACTATTTTGCACCATACCTATTCAAATTCAAAAGTGGAGGCTCATCTGGGTATCTTTCTGTGTGCGAGAAAATCAAAGCCAGCTGAACTGAAACAGAAGTTTCCAAAACAGCTTATCTCCAGATGAAATGTAAAAGATACAAAATACAAAAAGTCGAAAAAATAAAAAAGAATAACTCCTGAAAATTTCTAGAGAAAAAACAAATCAAGTTATCCAATTAAGAAAGTAACACTAAGGCATTATTCAAAACATCGTATAATGCAAAAAGAAAATACCTGGAGTGGTTGTAAATTCATCTGATTCATCATCCTGTTGAAAAGAAGGCAAAGAAATGCACATAAGGAAAACCTGAACATATGTCTAGTTAAGACGTATACATCCTCAGCTTGACATGAGGTTGTTAAACAATTATGCCGGTTAGAACGTAAACCTACCACTGGAGATACTTTTATTTGAAAACACCTCTTGGAAGTATTTAACCCACTCTCACCTGAGTGTATTTCTGGCACATCAAAAACAACAGAAAAGAACATTCCTATTAGTTTCAGTACTCGTGAAATAAAAAACGATAACATATAACAAACTTTATAACAAATGTTGGTCTGCAGAAGCACCACATAGCAGATACCTTTGAAGTCATCCGCAAGTATTGCTTCCAACGCTTCGATTTCCATCTCCTGCTCTTGTATATAGTCTGTAAATATAGTTGTAAAACACACAGTCAAGTAAATTTCACTGCTTGGAACATAATTAAGTAAAATTTAACAGCCTTCTGATAAACTTCACACATTTCGACCAATCCCATGTCCCGAAAACCTCAACAACAAAAAAGTATGCCATTGAAGCTCCTGGGTTACTTTAAATTCCCCCAAAAAGCAATCTAAGATACCAAAAACAATGACAAACTCCAAAATCAACATAAAAAAATCGACAATTTCAAAATTTTAATTAAAAATACATATCACAATAGAAATTCAATCCTACAACCCCAATATTAACAAAAATTAAGAATATATAGCTTAATCACGCTGCTAAAAGTTATACAATTAACTTAAATCGCGACCCTTTTAGTTCATAAAATCGATAAAGAAACAAAATTTACTAGAAAAATAGGGTAATTAGCATCAATTACCCGTCATGATTTCGAAATTCTTCTCTGATTTCGTCTCTTCTCACTACTCAGAGGTATCTCCGAACCAAATCAGCCACCCTCAAAGAGCGGAAGAAAACCTAAGCTATCCTGAAACGCCGCGTTTTGTTCTTCTTATTTCCTTATCTATTATTTCAATTTATACAGTCTTTTATTCATTTATTTATTTAAAGTATAATGGTTCTATCAAAATCGGAAGGGGAATCAGTTAATCGTGGCCGTCAATTGAAAGGCCTAACATCATCATCAAAACGACATAATGTAAGATAATACGATGAAATGTGGTGGGCCCTCGGCATGCATGAGGGACCAGTGTAGGGATTTTAATATATACCTGTCCGTGTAGAATCTAACCACCTCTTCTCCACGAGTTGTGTCTTACATGCTGCCCAAACCAAAACGGTCGGTGATTAGGGCTATGTTTCTATAATATAATTTGAGATATTTCACTACAAAACATTTACTTTCAAAATATAATTTATGGATTAGAGTAGTTAAGATTATCATATCGAAAAAGTTTATAATTATTTGTATAAAATATATACACACATATATATTATATATTTCATGTCAAAGAAAAAATTTAAGCTAAATTTTATTTACTAGATTATTATTTTGTAAGTAAGAGGTTTTAGGTTCAATTCTCGTCAAATGCGAATTTGAATCACATTATTGCTAGCATATTATGAGGCTAAGCTCCACTCCATTCCCTTAACGTAGATAATATCGTTTGTTAAAAAAATAATAATAATAGATTTTGAAACTCACCTGACTCAGAAACTATACCACAACACTACTTCCATTGTGAGGCGATTTCTAATAGTTGATGAAATGTGGGGTTCAATTATGGGCTTCATATACATTTACAATTCAAAGCTCAAGCAATTGACCTCAACGGGATTTTAAGACTAAAAAGGTCGTAGTAATAATCAAACGGCAACGATTTTTTGTTCATGTTGTTTGGTAACACCTTATCAATCACTTACAACTTAGATGAATTTTATAGATAAATCTTGATATCATTCATCACTGTAGATGAATCTTGAACAAGAATTTGAAAATTGAGGTTTTGTATTGTGAAGTCGTGGGCTATAAAATACTAACAACTTAGAATTTTAATGCTTCTATTATTATTCATCATTATAGATGAATCTTTAATGAGAACTTGAAAATTAATGCTTCGTATCATGTGATCGCAAGAGTCAGTAGTACCCTATTAATTACTGACAACTTTAAGCTTTAACGCTTCTAATGTCATTTATCGTTGTAGATTTAAATAAAATCTTAAGTGCTACATTGTCAAACTATCCAGATACTCTATGATCTTGGACTCATAAAATAAAGCGTTTGCTACACGTGTTATGCTATTATTAGAAACATATACGATCTAGCAATTTTATTGGTAAAATGTCAGCTTACAAGATTAACGATTCAAATTATCAACATGAAAAGGTAAGTCCCGGGATTTTATACGATAAATTTATATTTCTGTATTGAAACAAAAACAATGAAGGTAAAACCGTTAGATATCCAATCCAAATAAACTCATGTTATCAAACATATTATGATGTCAAACTTGACCATATATCATATGGATTCTCTTTTTTAAATGCACAATCCAAATCACATTATAATTCGTTGATAGTAAGTATATATAGAGCATCTCTAAATGAAATGTCAAATTTAAAAAATCCAAATGATATTTGATGACTTATGTGGTAATTTGACATTTTGTATAAGTTTTTGGTCAACCCGATATGTTAAAATAATAATGTCATTTTATATTTTTCTCATCTCTTTGAAGGGTCCAATTATTGAAACAACCAATCAAATACTTAAAACACAGAACAACATTTATTATACATTGCATAACATATGTTAAAAAATTATTAAGTCAAATCTGATAGCAGAAGGCTTTGGTTTCAATTGACTCAGTGCCACGTAAGAAAATAAAAACTCCGGTGGAAAGAATTTACTACTGTTTACTGTTGTATGCTTACTGGACAATTAGTAAGAAAATACGAATAAATTAACATTACCACGCACCTCTATCTGGTGTAGGTGTTATATTGAAACCCTATACGGGAAACCGTATATAACTCTATACACCCCCTTCCTTTTTTATTTATTTTTTATATTTTCTTTCTCTGTATTTCCTTCTACCTCACTCGCAGTCTCTCTCTCTCTCTCTCTCTCTCTCTCTCTGTGTATCTGAAATCCTCTCTCTCTGTGTTGGGAAAAGAGATACAAAAAGGTACGGTTTTGATCCAAGCACAAAGCTTTTTGGGTATTTCTCTATCTCCTCCCTCCCCCCACCTTCTTCTGGGCCTCCGTACACTGTGAGCCGCACACGAGCGAGCTCGAACAAAAGATTTCAGAGCTAAATCCAGTAGTGGAAGATCAGAAAATCAAAACCCGGAAAACATATAAAATTATGAAAATAAATTTGTAATATTTAAAAAAAAGAAGCCATTTTTCAGATCCTTCTGTATGTTCTTCTCCCCATAAACCCTTCAAATCTGGTCCTTCTCTACCTCCTCCTCTTTATCTGTTGGCTTTTGATTAGCATTTTTTCTCTTCTGGGTTTTGTTGTTTTTAGTGATTTGGGTTGAAGAGTTTGTGCATTCTCCGGGAAACTAAGCCTCTGGGCGATTTCCGAAAGCTCAAATTTGGTTGAGAATGGAGGGCTGAGATTGAAATTTTGATTTTTTTTGAGATTAGAGATTTATTGGGTTACATTTGTTTTTTGTTCTCTCTCTCTCTACCGCTCTCTGGTGGGGTTTGGTTGAGATGGGGAGTTCTGGTGAGACCAGTGAGAAGAGCATTGATGCGTCGGTGGGTACTTTGGTTTGGGTCCGCCGCAGAAACGGGTCCTGGTGGCCGGGTCGGATAATGGGTCTGGACGAGTTGCCGGACAGTTGTGTAGTTTCGCCAAAATCGGGCACTCCGGTGAAGCTTCTCGGCCGTGATGATGCAAGTGTGTGAGTACTTTTCTTTCCCCCTTTTAAGCTTATCATAATTTCTGTCTGATTGATGTAGCTTGGACTGAACATTGTGTCAGCTGGCTTACTGATTTACAATTGTCTTAACAATCCTTGTTTTCAGCTTCTAGGTTATCTACATTTACCTTTGAGTAGAATCGGAATTAGAATACGCATTTGGCTTGAGATTTTCATAGGTGATTTTGGGTAAAATTTTGGTCTTGTGGGTTGGTGGATTTAGTGTTGCTTTCTTATTACCTTGTTTCACTTTATCTTGATCGGGTTTTTATCATTTGGTTGATTGATCGTTGTTTACTTTGGTGTTTCCGGGGCCTTTGAGTTCAACTGGATCATCACTTCCCTTAATCATGTTTTTTCTTGTTCTATAGCTTGAAAGTATTATCTCAATGATATTGATTAGCTTACACTTAATGTGAACTTGTTACTTGAGACAATAGTTTTCTCTGCCACCTCCTATGTGGCTCTTGTGTATTATAACACTATGCAGTGATGAGATGCATCTCCAAAAAAGAAATTCTTAGATGGTACGTTGTTTTATAAAAACAAAAGGATGGTAAGCTTGAAGCTTGAGAACACATTCATGTATACAAATTTCTGATGTATGAATAATTACTGCTTGTGTTGTATGGAAGGAAGAAGAAAATGCTCATACTTGAGGGATAGTTCTTTTTGGTCAATATAATTAAGGAATAGTTGGTGTGCAGTCCTAATGCATAGAAGATACATATTAAGGAGGTGCTTAGTGGTTTGCGGCAACAGATACTTCATAAAAATGTCTTATGGTTTTCTTCAGGCATTTTTGAACATCTTTATATTTTATTCAATTGGACCCTCGCTTAAGGGCCTGAGTGGAGCATGAGAGTTAGTCTGTGGTCTAATTCTCAAATCTGATTATACTCATGTAAATGACGAAATTTAGGTTGAAGTTAATTGCCACCCTGTTTGTACAAATTCAAATCTTTTAACGGCATTATATGTGAGGTAGCCTTACACGAATGCTTTATTACATCGGGGAATTCAAACAGTGAGAACTGCGTCACTGGATGATTATTTTCTTTATGTGGCACCGCAGCGATGTATAGAGATTGGCCTTGAAGAGTAGAGCATTAGATTTTGAGGTATTCGTGAAGCACATTGCTTAAGCTGGATGCTTTTTAAACGGGTTAGATGGGTGCAACATTAGAGACCTAGGAAAGAACCCTTGATATCTCTGGATTATTTTACATGAAAAATAGTACCTTCCTGTCTGTGTTAGTCATTGTTCCAGGGTTTACTTTACCATTAATTTTCAGGGCCCATCATACACTGTCTGAGAATGTTTTGTTTTTATTTTCAGCATATTTCGTCATTGTGGTACAGGATTATGGCATTTTCTTTAAGATTCTTTTTAGTACAGATTAAAAACTCATTGTATAGGTGTTTAGCGTTCTATTGATATATGAACACTGTCTGATCTTGATCCTATTGATTTAGGGACTGGTATAACCTTGAAAGATCCAAGAGGGTGAAAGCTTTTCGTTGTGGGGAGTATGATGAATGCATTGAAAAAGCAAAGGCCCATGCAGCCAGCGGGAATAAGAAAAAAGTTAAATATGCACGGAGGGAAGATGCTATTATCCATGCTCTTGAGATTGAGAATGCTCACCTAGGCAAGGATGATTTGAACTTCAGTGCTCGAATGAGTAATTCAGGTGGTGACCATGGTTGCGCAGCCAGAGAATCACCTGCCATGTCTCTTTGCAGCGAGGAGAATGAAGATATGGTTGACGATGTGAGTGATTCTGAAGACAATTCACACTCAGGGCCAGAATTATCTCAATCTGGTATATCTTTTGAAGAGCCAAATCATATCAGTTCTTCTAAGTTGCAATCTCTGCAGGGAAGGAGAAGGAAAACACCAAATGATTCAGAGGATGATGGAACAGAAGGAGTGAAGCGCATGAGAGGACTTGAGGACCTGGGAATGGGTGTATTGTCAAAAAAGTCAGGCCAGACTGGAGGGCTTCTTGAACAAGTTCAACAGGATGGTGCTTCACTCTTAGATTCAAACACTCGGAATGGAATGCCTAATGGAAGTCCTGCAAATGGAAGCAAAGGTACTTCATCGCTGAAAAGAAAGAGATCTCAAGTGGCAAATGTTAATGAACTCTTGAAAAGAAAGAACCGCAGTCGACCATTGACCAAGGTGCTGGAGAGTACAGCAATGGTGTCCATTCCAGCTATGCCTGACCAATTGCCAAATTCATGTGGTTCACCTCTTCAAGGGTTATCTAATGGCAGGGTTTCTGGATTAGAATCCAATGAATCAAAAGGGAGTTTATCTGCAGACCACACTGGAATTTTGTGTGAGAATGGAACCTCTATAAATGTTCCTGAACTAGCTTCTGGGGCTTCCTCTATTAATGACAAATTGAAAGAGAACGAGATTCCCAGCATATCTGGCTTAGCGGAATATGATTCTTCTGATGATAGGCTATTTGATGTGCCATTTGTTGGAGAGGAAAAAGACCCTTCAGGTACTGGTCATTCAAACATTTTAAAGTTATAGTGTTTTGGGGCTGTATCTTTGTGTTCCTGTAGTTATTACTTATCTCTTATAGTCCTATGGGGTATCTCTGCACCATTTGTTTCTTCTCTCATTTAATTATGCCTGCTTTATCTACATTGACGTTCCCCTGCAATTCTGCCCCTCTCCGTTCGGTTTGGCCTTTTTCATGCTATTAGTTATGTCTTTTATTACTTGATTATGCCTGCATTGTTTGCATTTAGATACCCTGCAACTCTGTCACTCACCATTGTCTTTAGCTCTTTCTCGATCTTAATTATTTCTTGTATTACTCAAATATTCTTGCATTATTTACATTTGGGCATTCCTGCAACTGTCAATTATGGATCCCCCTGGGATCTATAAGCCTTTTGGATCTTATTAATGTTCTCTCCTTCCTCTTTATTTTATGCAGAAAATAAATTAGCTTAGTCTTTCTTTACTGCTGATTTTGTCATCATTTTTCTACCAGGTTCTTCTCCTATACGTACAGCTTGTTCATCTGGTAAACCTCAGATTGGTGCGTTGGGAAGGCAATCTAGTCAAAGTCATCAATCTGAAGCTGTATCTTTGAAAAACGAGAGAATTAATGAATCTGGTTGTACGAGTTCAGCAGCCTTGCATGATATCAGCATAAGTATGGTGAAAGGTAGTTCAGAGTGGCAGTTAAAAGGAAAGAGGAATTCTAGACAAACAAGTAAAGATAGAAAACATGACTCCAGAAGATTTATGGACATGGATGATGAATACAATGGTTATTCGGCAGGCATCGAGCATTCCAATGGATTGTCTCAAGGTTCTTATCAGAAAGTAAATTGCAATGGCATTAGTGGTTCCCGTGCATATAATGGCACCTTACGATCAAAGTCCAAACAGGTTACTGAATTGCCTGATGGTCCAACACAGAGATCACTTCCCTATCGGCAGTCCCGCTTCACAGTGCCTGCAAGATATCAGACAGCAGATTCTACTGCCCGTAATTCATGCTCTGATGGTTCATTGTATGATGTCAAGCTTGAGGTGAAATCCAATTACCGGCCACAACATGTTCCCCTGGTTTCCCTTATGAGTAAATTGAACAGCAAAGCCATTGTTGGTCACCCACTAACAGTTGAGGTCTTGGATGATGGCTGTTCTGATTGGGAAGTTGATAAAACAGGCTATGCAGTAAAGCCAGAAAAAGAAATTGGAAGAATCCCAGCCAAGGTATTGGCAGTGCAACCACGAAATTCACCAAGTAGATCTCCCAAAACAAAGAAATCTGGGCTACAGCCAAAAAAGATCAGGAAACTATCTTCACTGACCGGTCATAAGCAATCTGAAGACAGAAAACCACTGGTTCCGAAGCCGAAGGGTCCTGTAATAGCCTGTATCCCCCTTAAAGTAGTGTTCAGTAGGATAAATGAAGCAGTGAATGGTTTGGCGCGACCATCACATCGTGTTCTAAGATCAAGCAACGCTTGAATATGGCTTCTTGTTTTTGGGGGGGGGGGGGGGGGGGGGGGAGGAGAGAGGAGAGAAAGATGTTGCAGTGGATGGATTCTTCCGGGGGTATGCTTCCCTTTTACATCCTAGTTGCTGCTTCTCATTTATTTGGCTATGTTAAGTTAGCAGCAGCGTTATGTCTGCTGTCGTTTTTAAGGCTGACTCCGTCTGTACAATTCGAGAAACTGCGTTGTTGTAGAAGGAGCATTCAGTCTCTGAATGTAGGCTGCTTTGTGCTCTGTATATAGATGTATCATTAACTTTTTAACATTTGGTAACCTGATATTTTGTTATTTTATTTTATGAATTCAGGTTCTTTTAGAGGCTTAACTTCTGAGACAGACACCTTTTCTTGGTGCTGAAAATCGATGCATTGAACTTTCTTGTGCTATTAAATATTTTGTTTCTGTTCCTTTGAATCGTGATGCATTCAGCTTCTTCTGCTATTCAATCTTCGGAACTGAAACCCTAACGTCGCAGTTTTTGTGTGCGCCTTCATGAATCATTTTAGGCTGCTCTTTGTTGCGTTTCTGTTTGCTGTAGCTTTGAAGGCCTGAGGGCCATGGTTGCCTTGCCATTGTATTTCTCCACCAATTCTCTAAATGGATGCATTTGAAGTTTGAACCATTTTTTTGGGTTGAGGGTGATTATGTCATTTAATTCTATCAGATTCCTTCTTCCCTTCACTTCTCCCTCGATCCCTTTTGAAAAATTAGAGCATTGGTCGTTAGATTTTTCAGTCTGTCGAAAACCTAGAATGATACGTTATATGTTATTATATAATTAATGAAAATTCTTTTGTTCTTTACAATGTTCCTTTAATTGTATAATTACATATGTTGTACAATCTCGTGTTTCGGGCACACTAAGAAATTTCCCTTTCTGAACAACTATTAATTTTCCATTTGACTTATCTAAATTCAAATATAATTTTTCTCTCATTACTTGGGAGGCGTGTTCGAGAAAGTATGAGTAACAACCGTATTCTTTCGTTAGCAAAACAAAGAAAAACCGAGAGTGTTTATGGTCATGAACAATGATTTGGGGACATGTCATCATTTGTCTTTCACACAAAATTATAAAAGACTTACATGTACTAACGTTAACGTAATGAGGTTTGAATTGAGATTTTGAGAGATTCTAGTGGATTTATAAATTTATTAATTTTGATAGAGTTTAATTAATTTATAGCGATTCCATATAAAATTTCTGTTGAATTCTATTGAATTCTTCATTTTTTTTTTTTATTTCATGTAAAAGTTCAGAAGAATAATAACTTTAGTTTCAAGGGCTTGTAGCACCAATAATCCCCAAGATTTCATAAGCTGCACTTGATTATTTTGAAGATGGTTTTGCGCTATAGTATAATAACTTAATAAACACATAGAATAACTAACATCATTCATTTGACTGACCTCTTGTTCCACAGATTTAAGATTGTATGAATTGCAGAACATTCATGAACACTGATTTTAGGTTTTTATTTCTAGATAGGTGTAAAAATAAATTTACATGTTTAATTGAGTTTGTGAGAACAATTTTAGGTAGTAAATTTGAACATAAAGAGACAATAATAATTTAATTAAAAATAACATGGGTACAGAGAAGAAATTGAGTGCAGAAAGAGATTCTATAAGAAATATTTTTGCTCAGCACCTTCAAATGATGGTAATGCTCACCATCATATTTATCATTGTTGGATGAATTTATATTTCAAGATATATATAGTGGATAAACACAAATCTCAAAATATAAACTCATCTATTGGTAATAAATAGAATGTTGAGTATTACCATTACCTAGTGAACAAAATACACCTAATTACATGGATTCAAATCAATTTCTTGTCTCAAAATCTGAATTGAATATATAGAAAAACTCTTTTCAGAAAAAATTGACAAGTCCTCTCCTCTCAGGGCATCTTCAATGGAAAGTGCCAAAGGTTTAAAAGCCAAAATATGATTTGACTTGCCCAAAAATACACCTAATTACACGGATTCAAATCAATTTATTGTCTCAAAATCCGAATTGAATATATAGAAAAACTCTTTTCAGAAAAATTGACAAGTCCTTTCCTCTCAGGGCATCTCCAATGGAAAGTGTCAAAGGTTTAAAAGCCAAAATATGATTTGACTTGCCCAAAAATCTATTTTTAATGGATGACTGAACTATAATTCTAAGAGACATTAGGCTGGCCAAAGGGGCATCATGCTGGCCAAGTATATCCCCTTCGTAGCCCCTTTTTTTGGAGCCCATCTCCCCTACTGCAATAATTAATTCAAGGTCAATGATTAGATTTGAAACATCCAAGGTAGTTTAATTAAATTAAACAAAATTTTAAGCATAACCTTAAAACTAATAAATTATTGAGGTACTTAGCCCCTTTAATTGAATATAGTATATGAGCATAGTTTAACATTATTTATTTAAAATATTTTTTTTTGTAGGATATAATACTGGATGAGACTACTTTTAACTTTAGAGATGACATTACCTGACATGTTAGCCAAGTCTACTCCTAACAACAAACGGGACAAACGGGTCAACAAAACCAGAGGATATAATCGTAATAATGAAAAATGAATGATACCCCTCGGGTCCAAAGATATAATGAATTGAATTAGGGTTTCACCAACATATATATGGGGCAAATTATAAACCCCCATTATCCTCTCTCCTGTAAACCCTAAATCCCAATCTGAGCAGCTGAATCAAAATCTCGGAGATGGCGACGGTTCCAGGGCAACTGATATGGGAGATAGTGAAGAAGAACAACTCTTTTCTTGTAAAGGAGTTCGGGAGGAGCCACGCCGGCGTTCGGTTCACCAAGGAGCCCAACAACCTCCTTAATCTCCACTCCTACAAGCACTCTGGTACATTTCATTGCATCCCAATTCCATTTATTTTCTGTTTGGTTCCCAAGAAAATTTTGGGGTTTTTCATTTATTGAGAATTGAGAAATGGTTTCAATTAGGGTTGGCAAACAAGAAAACCGTGACCATTCAGGGTGTGGGCAAAGATCAATCTGTGCTGCTGGCAACAAGTAAGACCAAGAAGCAGAACAAGCCTGCTGCTCTGCTGCATAAGTCTGTGATGAAGCAGGAGTTCCGCAGGATGGCGAAGGCGGTCGTGAATCAGGTAAATTGAAGTTTCAAAATTTGCCTTGCTGAGTAATTGTTTACAAGAACTGGATTGCGAGCTTACCATGTAGGGATGAGGCTTAAAATGTATGAAGGATCGTTTCGAATGGATTTTTGGAATGAAATGATATGACTCGTTTCATTTGCTTCGTAGCATGCATTGTATTATTTGATTAGATCGAATGTGTTTTGTTAAAATCTTATATACATATGTAGGAAAAAAGTCTTATTTCTTTGGGCAAAACCTGAATTGGGGTTTGTTTCAAGGATCCTATTGATTAAATTATTAAGAAGGTACTTGTCGGTTTAAGCTGCAGTGATGAGCCTTAACATGGGGATCAATTACGGAATTTTTTCTTCAGTGAAATCCTCTTGTTATGCTTGGCTTATGAGCGTGCATTATCTTTTTAATTCTGTTGGGTTCTCTTCGTTAAGCTTTGTGTATTTTCTAGGAGAAATCCGAAATGGGTTTATCTCTGGGAGCTGAATGATTATTTTAGTGAGAAGATACTTGTCGGTTTTTATGCAGTGATGACTGATGAGTCTTAGCATGTAACATAGAATATTTTGTAATGAATTCTTCTATGAAATATTCTTGTTTCGCTCACTTTTTTAGCATGCGTAGTGTTTTTTTATTATGCATCGGTCTCTCTTTGTAAATCCTCGTGGATGAAGATTCAAGGACCATCTGTAATGATTCGATGAATCTTTAGTAGCCTTGTCTGGATGTCTCTTTTGTTATTCGTCTCTGTTTTTCATTTTGTGCTCCCTGTCGTTGCAGGTGGCGAATAACCATTACAGGCCGGATCTGAAAAAAGCAGCCCTTGCAAGGTTGAGTGCTGTTCACAAGAGCCTCAAGATTGCCAAGTCTGGTGTCAAGAAGAGGAACAGGCAAGCTGTTAGAGTCTATGGCAGGAAATGAGTAATAGGGGTTACTTTTCATGATTTTGGATTGCTTGGGTCGTCCTTTGAAGCTCAGTTGTATTTGGATTTTGAGATTATATTCAGTTTGTTTTGCATAATTTTCGTGGATATCGAAATTATGAGTGTGCTGGATAATTTTTTTCAACTAAATGGAAGGGATTACAAGATTAATTTTCATTTTTTGCAAGCACCCCTATATTATGCATAAACACAACTAGTTTTTTTTCTGGAAAAATTGTATCCAATAAAATGAATATAGATAAACATAAAGTGATCTGTGATAGTATGACATTACAATGAACTGTGTCGTTGATGAAATTATTCGAATAATTTCTTGAATTTCTAAACGAACGGATGAAGGCGGAACGAAGTATCATGAACATCTGCTGTACATATTATAAGTTGGCTTGCTAAAGGTTCCAATGCACAAACCGCATGTTCTGCAAATCTTTGTGTAACTTCCACCACCATCAAGAACATACTCGTCCTTGACTGACAAATCAGGATGAGCAGCAGGTGGTCTTTTGGGAGACCGGCTGTCCGCGCATGTGCACGGTGGATGGTTTGTTGGCACTCATTGGTTGCGTAGCTATCCTGCAAGCCGAAAGGAAAAGGAAATGTTACGGATGCTGAATTAAAATGCAGATGTTTCGGTACCAGTCGGAAGTTCTCAGGTTTAATGCATATGAAAAGGTAACATAGAGATGAACTCACCTGTTCTTTATCTCTGCAACCATAGTCATGAATGCCTGCTCTACATTGGTCGAATTTTTGGCGCTCGTTTCCAAGAATGGAATACCTAGCTCATCGGCAAATGCCTTTAAAACCAGTGGGTGGAGGAGAGAAGAATTTCAACAACACAGAGTTAGAAGAGAAGTAAAGTTGATCAGCGATGCGCTGATGCATGCTTATTTAACTCACGACGACATGATATCAATGGAAGATTAATTAGTAACTCAAATAACCTTGCTAGCTTCAGAAGAGACCACTTTCTTGTCAGCCAAGTCACTTTTGTTTCCAACCAAGAGCTTGTTCACATTTCCAACTGCAAATTTATTAATTTCTTGCAGCCAGGTCTTGACGTTGTTGAAGCTTTCTTGGTCCGTGACATCATAGACAAGCTAGCAACAGGAGAATCCTATGAAAAGATTGCAGAACCAAAAACTACTTTACGGGGATAGAAAGAGGTGAATCAACGCTTACGATAATGCCATGGGCACCACGGTAGTAGCTACTTGTAATTGTTCTGAAGCGTTCTTGACCAGCAGTGTCCCACTACGCAGAAGAAATGAATATTTCATATTTTCCGGTAATGAACTTTTGATTTCAATCCAATCCAGCGTTAATGATAAATATACTTACGATTTGAAGTTTGACAACCTTCCCGTCCTGCTCCACCGTTCGAATTTTCTAGACAGAGGAAATAAAGAGATGAAATCACTGCCATGACATCAAAATAACCAGACATCAGAAATGCTATATTATGTGACTTTACTTACAAAGTCAACACCAATGGTACTTATGTAGCTGTCAATGTAAGAATCATCCTACACAAGTGAGAGTAGAATCGTCAATAAATCTTCAACAAAGCTCACACCCGATTTAGATTGCATCATGCAGAAAAAGGCATTCTTCTGGTCATCAGAAAGTTGTAACAGAAGGCCGAAAAGGTCAGACATCACGATTTTAACAATATGGCTAAGGTGTAAACATGAAGTCTATAGCTCAAGAAACTTAGATCACTAGCGTACGTGTCACGTGTAACACATTATGATTAAACTTTGGGAACAGATGCAGCACATGATAAGTGAGGTGGTACCGGTGCACCTTGGCTAATGGTGGCGAGCGAAATTGCAAACAGAATACATATATCTTAAGGAAAACACCACCCTATGTACAACGTCGTTAAACTTTTACCGCAAATCTCAGTAGAAGGCATGACTTGCCAACGCCGGAATCTCCAATGAGCAAAAGTTTGAAAAGATAATCACTGCCAAATGGGGGAAGATAACTAATTAGAGCCTCGAACTTTTTGCTTCAGTAATTAGGCAAATAACTACAAAAATAAAAAATAAAAAAAATCATCAAATCCTAATAGCAAAAACCTAGTCTGTCACGAATAATGCCACCCTGCATATCTGATTCATACTTCTTCAGCGCCTTTCGTTCAAACAAAACTATTTATACGCGTAGCAACCAGATATGAATTCCATGGCAGCATATATCATCCAAAACAAAGTAATACACCAATCCACAGTAGAAAGAAACATGATTTCATAAGATCATTAACAAGTCTTGGATCTAATATCAAAAGACTAAAAAAGAGGATCCCCAAAAGCTGGAACAGATAATTTCTAACCAAAATGGCAAATCGAGAGCCAACCCACGTACCCAAAAGTTAAGAACAAAATAACCCATCATTGATAAACAAAAAAAATAATTATTATTTTTCTTTCTGGGTTTGACCAAAATCCAAATCCAATCGAATGAACAGGATGAACATTTACCAGATATCAATCACACAGAAGAAATTTCAGCTATAACAAAAACGTGGTAACATGTAAACATGCATGCAATTGGTAATGAGAGAGAGAGAGAGAGAGAGAGAGATTACGTACTATTCAGGAATCATGACTGGAATGATCGACGAGGAAGATTGAGAAATGAAGCGTAGAAATATTCAACTGGGTCTAAACTTACGGAATTGGGAATGTTAAGGGAGGGAGGGAGGGAGGGAGGGAGAAAAGGAGAAGGAGAAGGAGAAGACTTTGTTGTGTGTTTATAAATATATGGGTGGACAGTTTGCGTCACATTGAAAGGTTCGTACTGCTTCCTAACCAGCCGCCAGCTTGGAATCTGACCCCACATACACTTTGCCCTTTTTTTTTTGGGAATCTAAATTCTTTTAACGAAATATTTTCGGTATTTTTCATTTTTAACGAAAAATCATATTTTTACTTTTTTATTGCACTATTCACTAAACCTTTATTTGTTATTTTTCATTAAAACTAAAGTTTTTTTAAACTTTTCGTTAGATTTTTTTTAATTTTTTTTAATTTTATATATAAACTACCTTACATTTTTTTGTGGTTGGAATTTGAGACTACCATACATAGCAAAGGTACGCCTCCAAGGTGATATGCCGCACTGATGATACGACGCTAAATAGAGAGAAACTTGCACGTGTTGTTGTACTATTACCATAACCAAATTTTCGTTGTACCTATAACATGACAACGTGGCATTACTGTTAAACGTAAAATATAATATGTTAATATGTTTTCTATTAATGTAGCAACTAAATCGTCTAAGCTTATTATAACATTAGAAATAGTACAATCACATTCCTAGAGATACATGCGAATCTAGGTATAAAAGATGCAGAGCAGGTAAAGCCCTCAGAACGTATGCAGGAAAACCTTATTTCTTTCTTTATTATTTATTTATTTTGGTGAAACGGTCTAGACAAACTTGGTGAGCAAGCATTGTACGACTTATTTATTTCAAAAAACTGCTGAAATCCAATCGTGCAGAGAAACCATAACACGTTCTCTGTCCAATACACACTTCTGTAAAAACTCAAATGAAAATCATATTTTATGGTCAGTGGTTTTGTTGGGTAATAATATATTAACTAATGAATCTTTTAAACACGTGCAATTTACCTCGTCTCACATTAAGCACAAGTTGTGCATGGGAAGTTTAAGCCGACATATTCATCTTTTAACCATTTCTTTCCTTCTTTTAAAAAGGGAACAGATGGTGGATACAGTAGTCCATTTTTTCGGAAGTCGAAAAGGTTCACAAATGTATTTCAATTTTTTCTGATCACTATTGTTATGCCCTCGACTGCCAGCATATGATTCACTAGTGTTAGGAGTCGAACTCAGAACGTGCCCGGTAGAATACAGACCTATATTTGGATCACCCCCTTTGTGGTTCCGCTTCTTTTAACCATTTAACTTTATTTGACTATAATCAAATGGAATATTGAAAAGGTCTTAGTCAATGAAGTACCCACACGGATTAAAGAGAATACAAATGTTGATTACTTGCCTTAATACAATTCTCTAACCCCTATAATTGCAACATTTTCAACCACTCATTTCTCAGCCAACAAAACCCAGACGCCATGTCTGTCAAGAAGAGTCTCTCTCTCAACCGAGGCGGTGCGGGGAAGGGGGGAGCAGTTACAAAGAAGACAAGGAAGACTTTGTCTCTAAACAATGGTGATGCCGGGAAGAGCAGCGGAGATGTGGTTGCAGCAAAGCGGACACGCTTTGATCGTTGTTTTTCTTTCATGGAGGTTTCTACAGAACCGGGAAAATCACTTAAAGAAATGGATTCCGAGAAGTTGAAGTCAGGGATCAAGAGGTGGGCTAAGGCTGTTGTTGCATACGCCCGCCAAGTGAGCGGCCGCTTCGGAAGCTCTCACAGCGGAAGCTCTCGCGGCGAAACAAAGGCCTAGTTGAAATGTCTAAAGTATATTACTCTGTTTCAAGCGAGGTCAACATAAAGATCGATGCTTTACATCATTGTACATAGGAGTTTCAGAAAAGGATGGCACCGATCGATGCACGACATGTACTTGTATGTAAATACTTGATTTTTCACTCAAAATAATAACAAAATTGCATCACATTTCTGCTATATCTCTTAATGTGAATTTAAGCAATCCAGGGAAAAGAAATACCAGCCAATACTATACATCTACCTACAAAACAATTTCAGTCCACCACCATGAGAACAAACAAATACTAAAACCGAAATTTCAGTGCCATTTCGGCATCAACTCTGTTAAAGCTCAAGTCTTCAACCGCATTCTGGAAAAGTTCTTTTGAAGAACAATTCCGTCTTAATTTCTAGCTAATGAGACTAAGGCATCTACAAAACCCTTGACTCTCTAACCTCATTGTGACTTCTTAACATCACCAAATGTCGTCCTCGCTCCGGATATACTCTTCAAGAGCTGTTTAGAACACATGTTTACAGCATTTGTTGCGTTTTTCACACGGTTGGCTTCTACCCAAGCGGGTTCCTGCAAGAAAAACCAGTTTAATGTTTATTTGATGATCTGACCTTCCTTAATAACCATTAGTAAGTATAGTCACAAGGAAATATGCAACTGTGTTAAGAAAGGTGAGAAGGAAATCACCTCGGGAACAAAACGGGAGAAACCAAATTTGATCAACAAGAGGACATGTTCCATAACCAATATTGCAGCCAGGCCAGGCTCTATCTTCCATTTGCCCTCTTCATCATATAACCATACCAGCAGTGCACAGTTGGTGCATATAGACATAACTATGAGAAACTACAAATTGCTGACAACCACACATTAGAATGATGACGATAAACGAGCAAATAGAAAATCCAGTAAGAACGTCTTCTACCATCCAATTCTCCAGCTAGTGTTTATAATTACAGCTAATCAGAAAGAAAATCTAATACAGATCCCAACAAACATTTCTCTTCCTTCACAGGACAGAATATATAGATAAACACGAACCATAAGTACCTGAAATATGTTCAGCCAAGCTCCAATTGTTGTGGAAAATCGAGGAGTTGGTCTTCTCAACATGGCAAGAAGCTTCAACGCATCAGCCCTAATTTCAGTGATATTGTTCTGTGAAAAATGAACAACCACAACAATTAACATTAATTAACAAAATACTACTACCAGCAATATCTAACTTAAACGAATGAACAACCACAAAGCAGAATATACCAAAGTTGCGAAGGCAAAAGCAAGGGGGAATGCACAAGCAAACATCATGATCATTCCAAACTGCAATGCCACCTCCAGAAAGTCTGCAGGTCCAATCACAGTTTAAATCAGCCGGAAATATAAAAATATAATGTATTCTCATGACTACAAAATAATGAGGAAAATCAAATTATAAAGACACCAGAAAAAAGAATAAAATTGGATACACTTGATATCTTACCATCAAACAGCCCGTCTTCAAGTTCCATACCAATGCTTGCAGAATAAGAAGGCTTCAGGTACTCCTTTTCTACCCTGGAAGCAAACTGGATCTTCCCTATTGATGAACCCTTTTCACGTTTTTTCTTGCTTCTTTACACCAGAATGGCAGAACAGGTTAGGTTCATGTAAACTTAAAACTCCGAACACATAAGGGTACAAAAGATAATACAAAGTATAGACTTACCGAACTCTATATTTCTTATAACTGTACTTCAAATATGGCAAAGTGTTCTCCAACAAGTTTTCCAACACCTACAAAACATTGTCCAATACAAGAAATGAGAAAAGTAGGAAAAAGAAATGAATGAAACATGACATAGTTTACCTGAGACACAAGGAGGCGTTGAATCAAGACTTTGCGGAGAGTAGAAAAGTTGCGGTGCAAAAGGGCATGGTAGAAAACTCCTATATATGACTGCATGAAATAAAGACCAAACACCTGCCAAATACAAAAAAGTCCTTGAAGTGTAAAAACTCCTACACAAGAGAGCAAAACAGTAGCGGGGGTGGATCAGTCTCCCCTTAACCCACCTTGTAGACCAAGCTGTCAGCTCTTTTTTCTGTGTTTTCATTATTTTCATATTTAATGAGCTTAACGGAGATCTTGCCACCAATCTGTGTCAAGAACTGAATGGCAAAAAGATAAATGGTAGTCAACCCAACCCTGAAAAGAAAAGTATTGCTATAAGTGTCATCTTCATTCAGTAATTATAACATGAAAGTATCTGCAATTATATGAATGCAAGAGGACTCAGCATCTTACTTCATAATATCAGACTCAATAACCTCATAAATATGAGCATATGCCAGTTCAAATGGTAACTGAAGGCATATAATACTGAAGATAATGATAGCATCATTTCGGAATCTCATGAGTCGTCCAAACCACTCAATTCTTTGGAACATTTCTTTTTCTTTTGTTTTGTCGGTCCCCCATTTTTTTGCGAGCTCAACAGATGGTGAGGAACTCCACTCCACACCTTGCCCATACCCCAAGTCAGCTCTAACTGGATTACTAATCTGCCATCTAAACCCACAATCCAGAAAGAGGAGGTAAAGTAAGAAAAAAAGAATAAAAGAAGAGTGAAAATGAATAAGAATAGATCTAAGCCACAAGACAATTTCTTTGTAAACCAACTTACCTGGCTAAGAGGGCACTATTTTTACGTTTCCAAAACTGTGAAAACATTATAGCCCATAATATTATGCATATGAAGAAAATGGGAAGCACTAGTAACTGCAATGACCTGCGGAAACATTATGCAAGCACACAGCAGTTTCAATAAGCAAGTTGCTCAAATAAAATAAAGTTGACAGCCATCAGGGAAACTAAAAAATGATGTAGCTGACCCACCCAAAATCAAACATGTGCATGATAAGCCCAAATGCAGCTGGAAAGAGCAACCACCTTGTATACATTCCAAGGAAAGCAAAATAGATGGCGATCTACAAAGACAGTAAATTCTTGTTTAATATGTTGGGCAAAATATGGAAAAAGATAATTTTGCTAATGCAACCAGTTCACCTTTGCACCAAAGTATGCATAAATCTCATCTATTGGCTGGTTTGTGAAGTCCCACCAGTGTAGTGCCCACGTGTGAAGGAGCTTCTTCCTTTTTATTTCATCTATCAATAAAAAACCATTTTAATATAAAGTTTAACATAATGTTTAACAGATATACAAACAGTTTGAAAACTTGTCAGCATACCGTGCAAAGGAAACACTTCTTTGACAATCCTCTCTGACTCCAACTTCTGAAGTAAATACTCCCCGACTTCCCAACA